TCCTTCACCAGTCGTATCTATTGTAACACAAAATACAAAAACCTTTCTTCAATACTCATGTCTGTATTTTCTAAATTAAGATACCTCACACAAATTAATATCTGCTCTTAAGCACACTGTTTCATTTTGAATTTTGTCTCCAAGGTAATGAAGCATTTTTATTATTTTTTTTTTTTTTTAGTTTGAATTTTATTAATATATATACAGACATGATAAGGTCAAAATTTTTTATCATTTCTGTACACTAAAAAAAAATTATTATTTCTTTCGAATAACTTGTTACTGGAACTACAGAAGGCTCAGTTTTGTTTGGCTAAAAACTGAATGGCATAGATAATTTTTTCAATAACATCATGCTGATGCTTAGTTTCCTTTTTTTTTAAATAAATTTTGAAATTCCGAATCAAGAGGTTTATTCTTTCATAATTGTTCTTAAGTAATCAGACCAAAGATGTAGATTTCGGAAATGCATTTTATTTATTTTTTTTTTCTGATGTTTTAAGTGCTCATATAAGTGGTTCCGTTCTTTAAATTCAGAACTACTCAGTTTTGCGTTGTTGAAACTGTTAAAATTTTTGCAGCAGAAACAATAAACATAATATTTTCAGCAGAATTTAGCAACCTTTTAACTCTTTCGTTGTTTGGCAAGATTCAACAAAAGTACATCTAAAAACAATTTACGTCCATTTTTGTCTTTTGGGAAACCAAAACTCGAAACCAGGATATCCAGACCATTTACTATCAAGGCTTGAACTTAAGATAGCAATAATGGCCTTGGGAATATTATGGAATCATCAGGCTCAGAAAAATAGGTATCTACTGCTGAAAGTGTAGATTTCTTCTGTTTTTTTAGTATTTCTTCTGTTTTTTTAGACCAGCTGCATTGAAGTTCAAGGTAATTCTCAGGTGAAAACACTTTCGAACTCTTTCTGATTATTAGTTTCTTTTGGCAATTTCAATCGCAGCTAGACATTGATGGACAACTAGTACTAGTCCAACAAATACTAGTAAGTCGTCCTCTCGCTTTCTTTTTAGTCATTGCATTCTGATCCTCAGACAGTTTCTTCTGTTTTTCTTCCAACACCTGGGAAAAAGTGAAAACAGAAAAGCAGAAGTAAAAATAAAAGTAGGAAATAACTATTATAAGAACTATTGCATAAATTACTTCTTCTGAAGAACACTCGAAAAGTCGCTGAAATATTTTACCTTACTTCTGAAAAACTGAGTATATTTTAAACCGTTGCTTGGAAAATATATGAACAATTAGATCAATACTAAATAATTCAACGAGGTGGTACAGTCAAAAGTCGTTAATCCGGACTCATCGGGACTTCGGCGATTCCGGATTATCGATTTTTCCGGATTATAGATCATCAGTTTAAATCTGGTAAAATGGCATGCAGAAATTATAAAATTAAAATATGAAACCGTAATTTACGAAATAAAGAACAATTATGATCTAAAGGGTATAAAAATTTACAAAAAAAAGCTTAATATTTATTTGTTTACTTTTTTAAACATTTCTTTCAATGTAAGTTGTTTAAGTTGCTTCGTTTTTTTATGTGATAATACATTCTCTTTAATTCTATAAACAGACATAATTTCTTGTTCAGTTACAAAGTTCCGCTGTTCAAGTCCTATAATTGCTGTGTCGAGAATACCAACTAATTTGTCAATCGAAATTTTTTCATTTTCAATAACCTCTGTCACTTTCTTCGCTATCAGAAGCGAATTATAATGACGAGGCATTTGATTTAAATCATATCAAAGACTGAGTACATCGACATGAAATACTACATTGAGTAAGCAATTATAAGTCAAATAAAATAAAAACATCTGCCCTTATGATAAGGATAGTGCTGACAGATCAACTTCCAATTCACCGCCGCTGCGTTAAAGATAAACAAAGTTTAGATAAAACGTTAAAGTTTAGATAAACAAAGCATATGCCTTTATCCATTTTTTTCAGCAATTCCACTTTTTGTTTAATGGACTCCAAAAGATACTTTTGCTTTGTATATCCTTTACATATTAGTAAATATATATCGGAAATTCTATTTGACATAATCGAAAGTTCAAGCTTACTTTTATAAAATTGCTCTAACAGTCTGCAAAAAATAATAATCCGGATCCAATTCGAAGATTAAGGAACAACGCAATCTGCAACATTAACAGAAATAGATAATTAGATAATTTTAGCTTAGCTTATCCCGTCCGTTATACATTAAACGCGCATTCGTAAACGTATTTTGCGCACGCGCACACGCAAATTCGTAGCGGTAAAGGTCATGCGTCAACACGACGCATGCGCAGAAAGTTTTTATCTTTGAGGTCCGGATTATAGATCATTCTGGATTATGGGTGTCCGAATTAACGACTTTTGACTGTAGTACTCTTTTGTTTATTAAAGTCAATAAATCAAATTTAAAGTATGTATTTAAGACGTAATGAAAAAACGGAACATTTTCCTTTTGTTTTCCATATAACTGAAAATCGGAAAATGACCAATTTTTAATTTCAGAATACCTTGTGTATTTTTACTTCTTCAAATCTCAGATAGGTATATTTTAAATTCACTGGTACTTTGTAAATATGCCAATCCTTTCTTCTCAAAAGATAATCATTTTTAGTTTAATAAACAAATGGTTCATGTAAAAAAACATTTTGAGTAATTATGCTCAAATCGTCACTTTTCTGGATTAAAAAGCTAACCTAAGTTTAACATAATGTGTAACTGCACTTACCTTTTTTATGTAGAACAACAATAACAACAGTCAATCACCAAAAAAAATCACAAAAAAGATAAAAGTTGCACAAATTGCTACGGAGTAACAGTAGACACGAAATAAGGACTAAGCAATTTGTCGATTACGTCTACGGCGGCGGCGTCTACCCTTACATACTTGTCAGCATCACGTGTTTTTGTTCACATATATTTACAAGATCGGCTCAACTTATGCCAAAAACTGCAAAAAGCATTAACTGATAAAAATTAAAACGATATAAATACTATAGATCTTATGCATGAACTGCAACTTTTGCAAACGTTTGGAGGAAATGTAGCATTGCCGGTTGAAACTCTAAACTACATCATTGTCAACAACATAGCAGTGTGCAAAATTTTGGATGTATCCCTAGATATCAGCCGTAGAACGTTTCTTATGCCCTGTTGCAATCATAGTTTGAACTTAGTCGTAAACTGTGCTACAAACAACAATTTATTCAGTGGAAACTTATTAGATATCTAAATTAATTTATTTTTAATTTAAAGATAATAAATTGTGTTCAGCAATATATTTGCTATCCAAATGCGTTTAGTGTATTATTTCGCTTTGCTCACGGTGTTTCATTTTCATAACATTTTGTTGTTGTTGTTGTTGTTGCTGACTAATGCTCACGTGTCTAACCTATAGTCAGCCGAAGTCCACGAAATTCCTCCTGGCAAGGAGTGCAAGATACGCTTGTTGTTGGCAACAACCTTGCACATCTCACAGATGACAGTGCGATTTAGTTTGGTTTCGCCCCCAATTTTGATGGAGAGCATCCTGGGGAACGGTTCTGAGCGTCTTACACCCCTTTTCCCCTATCACCAACCTTTCGAGAGAAAGTTTCCCTTGCATATTTAGACTGTCCCCATGCCACGCAGACACAATACATTTACAAACATCCATGCATTCTCTGAGATTTGAACCCGGGCACTTTGGCATGGCAGTCAGCAACACTAACCAGTATACCGGTTGGGCGGCTTTTTATAACATAAATGTAGGTATAATTCTTCAATAAATATGTTTGAGTCTGGGTTTTTAACAAAGCACAAAATGTTTGCATATTTAGACAAATTAAAAGATAAACTGTATTTTTTGGGGTTTTCTATATTATTATGCTAATAATGCTTCATTTTAAATGTTAACCATAAGGTAATGTCCCTTTAATATCGTCACTGTATAAAGGTGCTCACTAGATATTTGCACGATAGCGCCGATTAGGCTTGGCGCGGGCCTGCCTGTAGCCTATTTTGCTGACCTAGTACTTTGCCTGGTGGCATTGTCATGGTTGGGTAGATAATCAGAGAGTACCTTCTTTTTTCTTAAGCTCAAATTTTAAATATGCACTTGTGGAACTTGTCTGCAGTTGCAGAAACTGCATGAATTTGCTAATTTGTCACAAAATCTCTAAAAAAATGTGTAGAATCTATTCTTAAGGTTGATCATCCCAAAATTTCCACCTGAATAAAAGGAAAAAAACTCCTTGTAAGTAAGTTTATTGATTGATTTTTAGAATGCGTATCAACTTAAAGTGTAAAATAAATATGTATATAAGAGACGTTTTAACACAGTTTTAAGCCATTGTTCTTTTTCTGTAAAATATCTCCACACAGCACTAAAAATAGCTCTTTAGCAAAATTATTAACAAAATTATTAGGAAACTTTTATCTTTTAGTATAGTTACTTTAAAAAATATTCGCTATTGTATTTACCAATATTAGGATTTTTATATATGGGTAGGATTATTATTTTTGTCAAAATTCAAGAATTTTTTCAGTTCTTAATTAAAACCTTCAGTAGGACATATATTCGGTAACCCTCCACTAGAGAAAACTATTTACTACTTCAGATGCATCATCAAGCATAAGGGGTTATTAAAGAAACAGTAGAATAATTCTCATCTATGTGAGTGATGACATGAGAAACAGCACCAAACTTTATTACTGGATTTGTATTATTGTTATTGATGATTACATTTCATATTGAAAATGTTCTTCCTAGCACAGTTTTATTAATTTTCAGATGAAAAATGTATCTTCTTTAAAGTATTTTGGGATGTTCTAAATCTTTTCATAGTTTTATCAAATAAACTGATCTCATTTTTCATGTTCATTAGCTGATGTGTTACTGTATTTTTTTCTTTGTAAATAACATTGGTTTGTAGAAACCAATATAATTAACTTGACTTTCATGTAAATATAAATGATTTTACTTTATTAAACACAAACTTTTTAGAGCAAGAGGCTGATGAAGCTGTAGAGAGGCTGCGCAGAGAGCAAGAAATGAAAAGAAAACAGAATGCTATGACACTAGAAGAAATACGAGAACAAGTGAGCAGATTAAGAATGTCTTTAGGGAGAGAAAAATGTTATTTCGTAATTATGGTAAAAATTTTAGGATTATTTGCCGAATGAGGAATGTGTTCATTAAGAATTTTTTAATCCTTTTCCTTTTTGAGGGGTGGGAGAAATAGGAATCTAGAAACAGTCAATCCACTTGCTATCAAAGATCAAGCCATACATGAAATTATTGGTGTTTTCTGCAATCTTGCACACTGAATTTTCTGTATTATATTCAGTTTAATACAAATAGTTTAGTACAAAGACTGAGATCCAGAATCTTCAGGACTAGCAGTTCTTGATTTCGGAAATTTTTAAATTACTTTAAATCTAGCAAAGTGACATGTAGGAATTATAAAATTAAAAATATGAAATATTAAAGCATTTCTGATATGTCAAGAGAATCAAAATTTACCAAAAAATCAATATTTATTTATTTATTTTATTAAACATATCTTTAAATGTTAAATTGTTTAAGCTATGCTAATTTTTGTGCTGTTTCTTTAGTTTTACAGACAGACATAATTTCCTATTGAGTTACTAACTTTTATTGATAAAGTCCTGTAATTGTCAAATTCAGAATTGCCACTAAACTGTCAGTCAAAACCATTTCATTCTTAAAAACCTCTTTGTCCATTTTTTTCCCAATGTCAGTAATAATATTTTTGTGGATTTAAAGCCATACTACAGATCTTGAAGTCCGTTAGTTGATTGCTACTGCAACTGATTGATTGAAGCACTGACATCACAATTGAAAATTTCTGTTATGTTATGTTCATTTTTCATCACCTCTCCACATTTCTTCACAAATTCCATTAATGGGAAAATTTGGCCTTCTATTGCATTCAAAATCTACTCAAAAATAAGGTTGTTGTCTGGCATAATTTTGAAATTACAGTTTCTTAAACCCGAATTGCAACAATACTATTGTCTCTTACCAAGCTGTAAGTTCTTCAGAATCTAATTCATTTTCTCTTCCCCACAACTTTGCCAGCAAAAGAAAACCAGTATGAGCAACTGCTCTGTTAGTTGAACTTATTTTTTTAGAATATAGTTTTTTCTCTTCTCCCTCCTGCTATGCCAATAATAATAATAATAAAACAGTATGACCAACATACCACTCCAAACAAAAATGTCTCTAGGCGTCACTTGATGTTTAATTAAGACAGAAAAATTTTACCTCTCCCCTTTCCTCAACAATCACGAAAGGGCTGAGAGCAGGGTCACTACAGTAACTCAATTGGCAGCAGATGTGTTATCGACCATGATGATTCCTTAGCCAGCAGATATTTGAATGTGACATGCAGAAATTTCAGTTAGTTGAGAGAAAAATTGTTTTTACAGTCCATCTATTTTTTAGAATTATATTTCTCATATAAATGAAAATAAAAAAATAAAAAAATCAATCCCTCCTTCCTCAGGGCTTTCTAATGATTTGAAGGTCTGAATTATTCTGGATATTTGAACATTTTGATTATGGAGATTGTGCTATATTTAGTTATTGGTTTCTAAATTTATCTAAAATATTTCTTTTAGCTTATAAACTTGTGATATAATAGAAGTTAGGTTTGGAAGTGCTATATTGTTAGCCTTAACAGTCAACAACAATAACTCATATTTTGTTCCAAAATGACATTAAACTATTGTACCATTATACTTTTGATTATGATATTAAAATATTGATATTTGTCAGTTATATCAACCTTTAAGTAAAAAAAAATCACCAAAATGGAAATAAAATGCCAAATATGCCTAGCTTCTGTTTACCTTGTATTGTTATAGCAACCCATCAGCTGAACTCTTCACTTCAGAATTCAATATTTTTTCACATCCTATTCTTTCATAATAATAATTTACAAGTGCTCCCCCCCCTTTAAGTTGAATTTGAGACTTTTCCATGTCTTTATGATTACACGTAAAACAATTGTGTATCCTTGCAAAATAAGCACTATCTACACGGTGTTTTGTAGTTGCTAACTCCCACTTTTCTCATCACATCTCCTGGTAGATCATGATATCACCTATTTTTTAAATTTTAGCCTTAGTTTTATTTCACGTCTTGGGATTTTTTTCAGTATAAAATTGTAAGAAAATTTTAAAATGAAATGGGTCAAAGAACATAAAATTTCAAATAAATAATTAAATACTAATCAATTTTACATCAGAATTGTATTTCAAATTGTTGAATAACATTGATTATGCATTATAACTGAATTAGTTCAGGGTTCCTTAGAAAGGGTGTCTCCACATAACCTCAAACCCTCTCAGTTTCTCACAAAGTTTATGTGGTCTTTAAGATTTCAAGGTTGACATTTTTTAGAACGATTTAATGATTTCTATAAAGAATATTGAAAAAAGGAAATATTTATAATCATTTCTGGCAACAATTATGTTTTTGAATCAGAAAAATCATCTGCTACTTTTAAATTTATTCTTCTTTGAAATCATTGCATAGAAACAAGCTGTGGGTTGGAGGATATGTTTTTGCACTTGTCACAAAAAAGTATTAATGATGGCATTATTAACTGTGCATTTGAAAACTGAATGCTGAATGGCTGTTAATGTAATCATTCATTTTTTAGTAAACTGTGGTTAACTTTTTTATTATTCAGCTTGCTCAGCTAGAAAAAAAACTACAGGAACTGAGAGTAGAAAAACATGAAATGTTTTTATGTTTAAAAAGAGTCTTAAATGAGGATGATAAAAGAAGAAATGAGGAAGACAAAGAACCCAGGTATGAAAATTATTTCATTCAGCAAGACATCCAGTATTTTGGAATTAAGACAGAAATTTTACTTTTTTCATATTTTATATATGTATGCCTTTTTTAAGGGAATGTTGAAACAAGAACACCTAACAGTAGTTACCAAAATGCTGTGAATCATTTCCTGTGTACCATATTAATTTAAAATTGAAAAATCAATGTGAGACTATTTAATTGTTTTCATTTATATAAATAAGTTCCTGGTCTGTTTCTGTTAATGACAAAAATAAAGATTTAGGATAGTGAAGATCTGACGAACTCTTAAAATTAGTAATAAAAAACACTTTGGTTACACTTGTCATGGATTTTCATATCGAAGAAAGCTTTTAATCAAATGTTGCTGTAAGTTCAGAAAATTAGCAACACAACCTACAAATAATTAAAGTCTAACTAAATTTTTAGTAATGCAGGCAAGAGGTAAGGCTTTACTAAAATGTTTCTTTAAAACATGATCTTACAGCGGCAATTTTCAGCAGGCGGTACACAAGAGAAAAATAGGTGGCACGCAAAGAAACAAAGATTTTTAACTATTAAATTCAAAAATTAAATACCCTAAAAACCTGTTTATGTTTTTTCTCTAACACTCATAAATTCATGCAATCTGAGCTTTGTTCAAGGTCAATAGCCCTTCATAGACTATAGCAAAATAACCCGTTTTTTTATTTTCACAAATATTCCTTAACCATAGACATAACAAAATTTGTCATAAATGATGTTTTTTAAAGGAGTAATAGAAATGGATGTTGCACTTAATAGGAAATAAAAATAAGTTGTTGTGATAAAATGATAATAGTATCTCATTAATTCTTTAAGAGTTGATTGATTTAATAGCATGTCTGCACTTTATTTCACCAGCATTTCCTGGCTTATATTGCTCTGTTTTCAAAGAGAATCATTTTTTCGTTGATTTTCTGTCACTAACAGCTGGTATTTTGTCTTGTTGCTTTGTATTCCTTACTTTTCTATTCGATTTGAAATTTGAGAATATCGTCTTGTTTTTGAAGAACTCATAATATATTATGTATTTAAATATTTGTGAAAAAATAATAAAACAAACTTACATTTTCAAAATGGAAAAGTGGCTAGGATTGACTAAGTGGAAAAGGGATGAGTTTTAAGTGATGGATTCAGAACAATATACTAACACTAAGAATACTGAAAAGAAAAGAAAAATTGTTTATAGAAAATAAAAAGAAATTTATTTATCATTTGGGTTTACTTGGAATAGAGATTAAATGGACCCACAACCACAATGTGTTGTTTGCAGTGAACTGATATCCAATCAAAGGATGAAACCATCACTTCTTAAAAGACATCTTGAATCTAATCATGCCAATATAAAAGATAAAGCTGGAGAATATTTTAAGAGAGAATTAGCGGAGTTCAGAAATAGTGAACAAGTAATGAAAGGTTTTGTTAGTTCAAATGAAAAAGCGTTGGAGTGAGAGATTATGCCGCAAAACCAAAGATGATTATAGTGCACCAAACGCGAGATTAGATGATTACAATTGATGAAATTAAAATACAATAAATAAAAACAAGTAGACAAATATACCAAATCAACAGGAGGAAGTCATATATAAAAAGAAGTTAAAAGCACACATTAAAATTCAAGACATAGTCTTCAAAACAAATTACATTAGGTAATAAAAGCCAGTCTCTTTTAAATAATAAAATAAATTACAATTGACCTCTCTTCCGATTAAACGGTCGAGAGGTAAGTCACAGCTATTAAAATATTTCTGAAGAGAAGACTATTAAAACATGGACACTCAATACACTCAATTAAAATATGACGGACAGATAAACAAACATTACAATTTAAAACAATAGGCGCATTCTCAGCTTTCAAAGGATAGTTATGTGTCACTCTAGTGTGACCAATTCTGAGGCGAGTTCAAAAGAACCTTCCTCCTTACGATTTCCAGTAAACTCCCAATGCTCAATTCTAGGCTTTACATTTCTCAACATGTTGTGATACAGCTGAAAATCCCAAATTTGCTGCCATTTTTTTCGGACCTTTTCCCTTTGATGACACAGCACAGATATCTCTAAAAGGGATAAGGCGAACTGGACAGTTCAACAGCAGAATTTCGCTGCAATATCTTGCAAGCTCATTTCCCTTTATTCCAGCATGTCCGGGAATCCCAGCAGTACACGGACTTTCATATCCTTGACGTTTAAATTTATATGAATTCAACTTGAGTGCAACATCCACTACCACAGGATTATCTGAGTGCTTGGGAAAAGCTTTCTAAAGATTTAAGAACGCACTATACGAGTCTATATAAACTATGAAATGTTTTGTGGCAGAGCTTTGAGATGTACAAAAGACCATAATATAGTGCAGTTAGTTCAGATGTTAGAACTGAGAAAGCATGGTGCAGGCATCTTTGCCCTCTATGTAATCTTCAAATACAAATGCCATCCCGACATGATCGTTTTTGACTTTGATCCATCTGTATATATCGGATGATATAACTGCTATATTTGTGCCTGTGCTCAGCAAAGAGTTGTCTGTAAACGATCTCGTTAGTGCTTTGCCTTTACGTGATGTTTGAAAACATCAAGAAGCTGAATCCGTGAATTTTCCCAAGGTGGGATTTCAAAATTCTGTACTGCTTGGGGGCGCATATCAGAGAGGGAGAGTTCCTCAATGATAGGGCGAACTCTTAAAGGAAAGGTAGGAACGCAGGATGGACGTGTTTCAAATAAAGTGTTACACTCATTATCAAGTAAGCACAGCTTATTGGGATGTTCAGGTTGGGATAAGATATTAAAATATTGCAAAAGGGACAATTGCTCACGCCTCAGATAAAGTGATGGTTCGTTACAGTCAACATATAGGCTCTGCACAGGAGAAGTCCTGAATGCTCCTGAACAAATCCGCAGACCTTGATGGTGAACAGGATCCAGTTTTAACAAAACAGATGACCGAGCGGATCCATACAACAACTGAGCCATAGTCCAGTTTAGAGCGGACGAGCGCTCTGTAAATGCGAAGCATGGAGCAACGCTCTGCACCCCAGGAGGTGTTCGCCAACACTTTTAAAATATTTAGTGTTTTTAGACACTTCTTTCTCAGGTTTAAAACATGAGAAAGGAAAGTCAATTTTCGGTCGAACGTCACTCCTAAAAATTTTACTTCAGGCGCAACTGGAATAATTGTACCATTCAAATATAACTCAGGTTCAGGATGGAGACCTCGCTTCCTACAAAAGTGCATGTAGAATGTTTTCTGTTTCGAAAATGTAAATCCCTGTTTGTCTGACTATTCTTGAATCTTATTCAGAGCCATCTGCAATTGCCTCTCTACGTATCTCATGTCTGCCCCTCGACAGCTAATCTGTAAGTCATCAACATATAGAGATCCCAAGATGGTAAAAGTTCTTTTAATACAGAGTTTATTTTTAAACTAAACAGGGTTACACTAAGCACACAGCCTTGAGGCACACCCTCTTCCTGTTCAAAAACATCCAACAAAACAGTGCCAATCCTTACTTGAAAAGTTCGTGTTCAAGAAATTCTGAATGAAAATTGGTAGGTTGCCACGGAAGCCACTCTCGTGAAGATCGCGAAGTATACCGTATCTCCATGCCATATCAAAAGGTTTCTGAATGTCGAAGAATACCGAGACAAGGTGACTTTTTCTTACAAAAGCTTTTTGAATAGATGTCTCTAAGAAGAACATATTATCTACGGTAGTTCTCCCCTTTCGAAAACAGCTTTGATAAGGCGATATATTATTATTCTTTTCGAAAAAGTAGATTAGGCGGCTGTTTACCATTTTTTCAAACAGCTTTCATACGCAACAACTAGTAAGGGCAATTGTCTGATAGTTGGAGGATTCCTCGGGTCTTTCCCCTGGCTTTAGCAATAGGAATTACAACAGCTCTCCTCCATGCACTGGAAAAAGTACGCTCCTTCCACACTCTATTGTAAAGAGTGAGAGGGGCATTCAGTGACTTATAAGGACAGATGCTTTAGCATTTCGTAATTCACACGCCATCAAGACCCGGAGAAGACCTATGTGTCTGCAACAAAGTTCTCTTTTATTCCAGCATAGTAAATGCTGTATTGTAAGGCTCTGATTTGGAAGAGTTGAATGCGATGGGATTTGTTTCAGAGTGCTGCTTGATAGAGAGAAATGCAGGTGAATAGTTTCTACTGGAAGAAACGGCAGCAAATGTCTCACCAATAGTATTCTCAATTTCTTTTATGGAGCTAATCACTCAGCCATTTTTATCCAAAACGGAAAGTGAGTGGTCTTTATATATTCCGCATGCTTTTCGAACTCTTTCCCAAACCCGCTTACTAGGGATAGAGGATGTTATTGACGACACATATGAAATCCAAGAATTCCTTTGGCTCTGCCTTCTTACTTTTCGTGCATTTGCGCTGGCTCTTTTAAATGCTATGAGGTTTCGCAGAGTAGGATATCTATGAAAAATACCCCATGCTTTATTTTGATTTTTCAGTGCTTCATGACAGTCATGATTCCTACAGGGTTTCGTATATTTTAGTATTTTTCCTGATGTTCTAGGAATGGAAAGCATAGCTGCTTGAATAATAGTATTAGTAACAGCTTTAACAGCATCATCGATATGCGTATCTTCTACCATGTTCTCTGTGAGCTCTGCTGAGGAAGAGAAGAGTTCCCAGTCCACCCTGTCCAGTATAAACTGAGGGAGTCTCGACATTGGGTTTGCACCTCTTCATACGAGAGACACAAAAATGGGATAATGATCGCTGTTGTAAAGATTATTTCCGACACTAAAAGTGCAAAATGGCAACAGAGATGGTGAACAGATGGCAGGGTCGAGAGCGTGGAAATGTCCTTGAAGGCTCATAGAAGTACGTATCCTGCCCATTATTCCATAGACAAAGGCTATGATCTTCAATCATCTGCTCAATTTGTCTTCCTCGGGAATTTGTATCTTTACTACACCAGAGCAGACTATGGCCATTAAAATATCCTATTATGATAAAGGGCTTAGGCAGCTGCTCTATAAGATCATTTAAATCTCCCTGATAAATGTGCTCATTTGGAGGGAAATACAGAGAAACAAATGAAACAACAATATCAAAATTTGTTTGTAGTAGCGACGACTTGGAGGAATGTCATCAAAGGAAATGTATTTGATGGATAGTCCAGTGAGGTGAGGAGGCCTACACCCCCACAGGCACGCTCCTGCAAGGTTATCCTTCCTGACGAAAGAAAACCTCCAAAGTTTTGCATGTTGTTCTAGTTTCAGATTTGTTTCCTGTATTGCTAAGCAGCTAAGCAGACAGGATGATAGGTGTTCCGTCTTTTTGGTAGATAGGTGGCGCTCTTGATGCGCGCCGATAAAAAATATTTCACTTGACGCTTGAACATGAAGAATGACGCATGTCATATTTTTTTATGCTTGATTATGTTTCATGGCCGCTATAGGCGGAAGTAATATAAGTAATAGATTTGAAATTCTAATGCTCTCCCAACTTTGACTCCTGAAAACGAAACGATCTTGAAAAATTATGACTCATGAAAAGAGACACCATCATTTTTTTGGTGCCGAAACCCGGGAAAAGGGGAATTACCTTTTGAAAGGTAAGAATTTGATTTATTGTTCTTGGTATCGATCTTTGAAACGAAGCATGATGGATGATTTAGCAAAAGAGAAAAAGAAACGTGCTATTGTACGTAGTAAAGTTACTACACTTCTAAATAAACTTGAGAAAATTATTATTGGAAGAATTAAGTAAAGAACATGTAGAAGATCTAAATTCATCATATGAATTGTAATTGAATACCATGAGAAAACTTAAAACTCTTCACTCAAAGATCGATGCTCTCATAATTGATGAAAAAGAATATGATAACGAACTACTTGTATGTGAAGAGTATGATGAAAAAATTATAACGTTTAAAGCTAAGATTGTTAGTAAAGTAAAGAAAATTAACAGTAATGAAGTTGTTGAAAGAAGTATAATTACAACTAGTAATGGTATTAGTAGTACTCTGAATGGTAATAATGTTGTTACAAGTAGTGCTTCAGTAAAGTTACCTAAATTAAATATTGAAAAATTTGCTGGTGATCCCAGTAAATGGCTCGAATTCTTTAATTCGTATGATAATGCTATTCATTCTAATCCAAGTTTATCTAAAATAGATAAGTTTACATATTTGAAAAGTTTATTATCTGGTTTAGCATATAATTGTGTTTCTGGTTATGCTTTATCTGAAGAAAATTATGATCTATGCATTAAAAGTTTAGAAGAGAGGTTTGGTCATAAAGATGTTATTATATCAAAATTCATGCAGATGTTGTTACAGTTAGAACCAGTTAAAAGTTCTTCAAATGTTTTTGAGTTAAGAAAGCTCTATGATCAGTTACAAATCTGCGTTAGAAATTTAAGTAGTTTTAGATGTTACTAGCGGTTCATACGGGACAGTTATTGAACCCAATAATTCTTAAATTGTTACCTGAAGATTTAGCTCTTGAATTCCATAGAAAAAGAACATCTAACCAAAATATAGAAGTAAGTGAATTAATAGAGTTCATTAAAATCGAAACTGAATGCCGAGAAGCAAGTATTTGATTAATAGCTCAAAAGGTAATAAATACACAGGGGTTAATCCTAAACAAGGGTTCAAAAATTATAAAGTCAAATCACAAGCTTCTACTTTTA